GAGAACCTTTCTTCCCCGTCGGTTGTCGGTTCTTCGAGCTATATGGCCGGCCCATTGCCACTTCAGCTTACTAATCCGTTGGGCTATGTCGGTTACTCTGGTTCTACTGCGGATATCCTCATTCCTAAGTTTATCACGCAGAGAAACTCCGAGAATAGCCCTCTCCATAGCTCGCTGAGCGACCTTGAGCTTCCTCATCCGGCCAGCAAAGAAGGACCACGTCTCAGTTCCGTATGTCATCACTGGCAACACGCACTGGGTGTACAGTCTCGTTTTCAAGGTTTGAGGTATGCCTGACGAGAAGATGTGCCGTAATTTCCCGAACGCTGCCCAACCGAGTTGAATCCGTCGATTGACCTCTCGGTCGAAGTTGGACTTACCTAGTCGGACTATTTGTCCCAGGTAAACATACTCGTCAACAACTTCGAGCTTAGTGTTCCCAACAACTACCGGCATAGGTGTGACATGGACATTAAACATGATCTTAGTTTTGTCCATGTTCATCTTAAGACCTATCCGTTGGGAAACACTACTATATCGTCGGCAAATCGAAGGTGAGTGATGAACTCGCCATTGATGTTGATACCGTATCCTTTCCAGTCCAGAAGCTTGAAAACGTCTTCCAATGCAGCGGTGAAGAGTTTCGGGGATATGACGTCACCCTGTCTTACACCTCTCTGCAATTGGATAGGTTTCGTACTCTGGTTCTGTACTCGGATAGCCATCGTAGCCCTACTGTACAAGCACTTCAACACTTCGATATGCCGACAGTCAACTTGGCACCGCTGAAGGGACTGCAGCACCGCCCAAATTTCGACGGAATCAAAGGCTTTCTCATAGTCCACATACGCCAGACATAGTGGCAAATTGTACTCTTCGGACTTCTCTACGATTTGCCGAAGGGTATGTATGTGGTCTATGGTGCTAAAGCCCTTTCGGAAACCGGCTTGTTCGGGAGGCTGGAAGTCGTCAAGTCTGCGCGCGAGACGATTCGTAATGACTCTCGAAAACAGCACGTAGACGCGGCTCAGAAGGGAAATCGGTCTGTAGTTCTTCAAGAGAGCGTTGTCACCTTTCTTGAAGAACATGACCACCGCACTTCTGCTCCACGCCTCCGGAGTAGTGCCACCATGGAGGACGGAATTAAAGAGCTTCTGAAGGACTTCAAGTACCGGTTTTCCACCCGCTTTCAGAAGCTCCGCTGTAATTCCATCCTCGCCTGGGGCCTTACCGTTTTTAAGGTGCTGGAGAGCCATTCTAATCTCGCTCAGACTGACGTCCGGGATATCTTCGGAATAGTGTCGGATGAGACTCGCTCTTGGATCGTTACTCACACTTGCGTGTGGCTCCAACGATGACGTGTACAACTGCCCATAGTACTCAAACAAATACAAAATCTCAGGTGTCCCGGAAACGATGCTGCCACATTCTGTCTTCAGCTTTGACAGTTGGCTCTTTCTGGCAGACAGATCTCTGGCAAAGACTTTGGAGCCTTTGTTCCGCTCGATCGCTTCTTCAGTACGAGCTAATTTGAGGTTGCGTAAGTCCCGCCGCATGCATTTGGAGATCTGCCTGTTCAGATACCTGTATGCTGTCAAGTCTGTTGAAGAATGTAGCTTCATCTCCCGTCTAACAGCCATGAGATTAAGAGTGTGACCGGAGAGTTTTTGTGTTCTTCTGCGGCGGGTCTTGCAGAACTTAGCCGCATGGACAGTTTCCACGAGCTTCCATATATATATATAGCCGTTGCCGTGTAGTGGCGGTTAAGAATATCCACTACCCCATATCTTCCCGTGGGTGTCGTAAAAGGCGACAAAGGGAAACAGGTAGGAGATGGGCTGCAGCATCTTCCTGACAACAGCAAAAATAGGATTTAAAAAAACTGCGGTTGCCAACCCGCTCGCCAAGCGTGGCAACTATGGCAATATACCCCCCATGAGCAATGACAATAATAAACGGCCCCCAGTCCCCGGCGGTCCCGCTATTCCTGGCTACGGTGGCGACCATGGTAACGGCGGGGCAGGGGGTGCTAAGAATCTCCGGTGGAGATTCGATTGCCACCTACGACGATTCAACCTGGCAACATACAACGCACGCACCCTGAGGACTGACGAGAAGATTGTGGAGCTGGAAGAAGAGATAGACAAGTTACGCTGGCATATTATAGGATTATCCGAAGTCCGAAGAGAGGAGGAGGAAACGGTAATCATCGAATCCGGCAACTTGCTCTATTACCGGGTGTGCGACCATTTGACCCAAGGAGGTGTCGGATTTATCGTCCACAAGTCTCTCGTTAACAACGTTGTAAAGATTGAGAGTGTGTCGACGAGGGTTGCGTACCTTATACTCAGAATCACCAAACGGTATTCGCTGAAGGTCATACAGGTTTACGCACCAACCTCGGCACACCCCGATGAGGAGGTGGAGGAAATGTATGAGGATATCTCTAGAGCCATGCATTCCTCCAAAACCCAATATACTGTGTTAATGGGAGACTTCAATGCAAAACTAGGCACAAGAGAAAATGGTGAGCTGAAAGTAGGGAAATTTGGAATAGGGCAACAGAAACCAAGGTGCCAGCAGCTGGCCGACTTCATGGAGAAAGAGGGACTCTTTATGATGAACTTTTTCTTCCAGAAGCGGCCTCACAGGAAGTGGACCTGGTCGAGCCCCGACGGTTCGACAAAAAATTAGATTGACTTCATTATAACGACCAGACGACAACTGTTCAGTGATGTCTCAGTGATCGCGAGGGTGCAAACCGGCAGCGATCACCGAATGGTTAGAGACACACTGAACCTAAACGTTAAGTTGGAGAGGTCTCGTCTAATGAAGTCAACGCTCCGTCCCCCTCGTGCTCTAATCCAAAGTCCCGAAACCTTTCAGCTCGAGTTACAAAACCGTTTTCAGTACCTAGAAGACAGCAATGAAGTGGACGATATGAATGACAAGCTCGTGGAAACTGTCCATGCGGTCGGAGCTAAATTCTGCAAGACCCGCCGAAGAAGAACACAAAAACTCTCCGATCACACTCTTAATCTCATGGCTGTTAGACGGGAGATGAAGCTACATTCTTCAACAGATTTAACAGCATACAGGCAACTGAACAGACAGATCTCCAAATGCATGCGGCGGGACTTACGCAAATTCAATACAGCTCGTATTGAAGAAGCGATTGAGCGGAACCAAGGCTCCAAAGTCTTTGCCAGAGATCTGTCTGCCAGAAAGCGCCAACTGTCAAAGCTGAAGACAGAATGTGGCAGCATCGTTTACGGGGCACCTGAGATTTTGAGTGAGATTGAGAGGTTCTATGGGCAGCTGTACACGTCATCGTTGGAGCCGCACGCAAGTGTGAGTAACGATCCAAGAGCGAGTCTTATCCGACATTATTCCGATGATATCCCGGACGTCAGTCTGAGCGAGATTAGAATGGCTCTCCAGCACCTTAAAAACGGCAAGGCCCCAGGCAAGGATGGAATTACAGCGGAGCTTCTGAAAGCGGGTGGAAAACCGGTACTTGAAGTCCTTCAGAAGCTCTTTAATTCCGTCCTCCATGGTGGCATTACACCGGAGGCGTGGAGCAGAAGTGCGGTGGTCTTGTTCTTCAAGAAAGGCGACAACGCTCTCTTGAAGAACTACAGACCGATTTCCCTTCTGAGCCGCGTCTACGTGCTGTTTTCGAGAGTCATTACGAATCGTCTCGCGCGCAGACTTGACGATTTCCAGCCTCCCGAACAAGCCGGTTTCCGAAAAGGCTTTAGCACCATAGACCACATACATACCCTTCGGCAAATTGTACAGAAGTCCGAGGAGTACAATTTGCCACTATGTCTGGCGTATGTGGACTATGAGAAAGCCTTTGATTCCGTCGAAATTTGGGCGGTGCTGCAGTCCCTTCAGCGATGCCAAGTTGACTGTCGGTATATCGAAGTGTTGAAGTGCTTGTACAGTAGGGCTACGATGGCTATCCGAGTACAGAACCAGAGTACGAAACCTGTCCAATTGCAGAGAGGTGTAAGACAGGGTGACGTCATATCCCCGAAACTCTTTACCGCTGCATTGGAAGATGTTTTCAAGCTTCTGGACTGGAAAGGATACGGTATCAACATCAATGGCGAGTACATCACTCACCTTCGATTTGCCGACGATATAGTCCTTATGGCAGAATCGCTGGAGGACCTAAGCACTATGCTCAATGACCTCAATAGTGTTTCCCAACGGATAGGTCTTAAGATGAACATGGACAAAACAAAGATCATGTTTAATGTCCATGTCACACCTATGCCGGTAGTTGTTGGGAACACTAAGCTCGAAGTTGTTGACGAGTATGTTTACCTGGGACAAATAGTCCGACTAGGTAAGTCCAACTTCGACCGAGAGGTCAATCGACGGATTCAACTCGGTTGGGCAGCGTTCGGGAAATTACGGCACATCTTCTCGTCAGGTATACCTCAAAACTTGAAAACGAGACTGTACACCCAGTGCGTGTTGCCAGTGATGACATACGGAACTGAGACGTGGTCCTTCACTGCTGGCCGGATGAGGAAGCTCAAGGTCGCTCAGCGAGCTATGGGGAGGGCTATGCTCGGAGTTTCTCTGCGTGATAAACTCAGAAATGAGGATATCCGCAGTAGAACTAGAGTGACCGACATGGCCCAACGGATTAGTAAGCTGAAGTGGCAATGGGCCGGCCATATAGCTCGAAGAACCGACAACCGATGGGGAAGAAAGGTTCTCGAGTGGCAGCCTCGTACCGGCAGGCGAAGTGTAGGGCGTCCCCCCACTAGATGGAGTGACGACCTGGTAAGATATGCAGGAAGTCGATGGATGCAGGTGGCTCAGGACCGTGCTTTGTGGCATTCTTTGGGGGAGGCCTATGTTCAGCAGTGGACTTGTGAAGGGCTGTAATGATGATGATGATGATGATAGGCCGCTGCATCCACTTACCATCAGGTGGACTGTGTGCCAGTTTGTCACCTTTCTACTGTAAAAAAATGTAGGGTTCCGGGACGCGGGCGAGCAGATGCGTGCAGCGTACGAGGACCCGTCGTTCCGCGCGAGTGCGGAGGAGGTGTACAACCAGGTGGCGCCGCTGTACAAGCAGCTGCACGCGCACGTGCGCCGCCGCCTGCTGCAGCGCTACAGCAGTCACGGCCTGCGCGCTGATGGGCCCATCCCCGCACACCTGCTGGGTATGCACCTTACACCTTTTTTTTAGCACTAAACTCCCACATGTTGAAAACTAGTTTAGTTTTTAGTTTTTAGGGCTCCGTAGTTGTTACGGCCTACGGCTGCTCCCTAAAAGGATCCAATCCTCTGGGGCCCATGAGCAGAAGACTTCCCGAGCAAACGTAGGTCGGGCCTCAATGTGGCCACGTGGAAATTCCTAATTACAATAAACCAGATGGGAGGACGTTAGAAGGACATAGTACTTACCATTATCCGAAGCTAACTTCGCACCAAGGCTTGGGCAGGCCGTGAGTGTGTGTAATAGTGGATGGAGAGTAGTGTACAGTGAGGGGTGAATGTGTGGGGCCTTGTCAAGCATAGGCGACCAGCCGCTGCCGAGTTCCAGGCTGCTCCAAAATACTGCCACACTGCTTCAGACTGCTTCGGCGCCGGACCACAGTCACTTTCTTCTCTCGTCACGAGGACAGTCAATTAACTCTATCGTACGATTAACTAACTTACAGAAGCCACTAACTATCGCTGGGTATAAGGTTAACGCACAAACGCACACAGAGTTTAAAGGTCACGGCCGTTTCGCGTAGCAACAGTTAGTTCTAGAATATCAGAGGCCGCACTAGCTAATATTGTCGAATGCACTTATACAGATTCTGAGTCGGACCCAATAAGTCCCGGGAAAGGCTATCCAAACAGGGAATGCGCGTTGTAATTCCTAGACAGGATATTTACTAGACGCCCTAACTATTCCGCGGTTCCCGCACAAAATTAACAGCGTGCAGACATTAGCACATCTGGCAGACGTCTGAATCGCTTGCGACCCGCGCGCCACTTGCCACGCTCGGCCGAACTTCAAACCGGTATCGCTGATCTGCGCTCCCTCTAACGTCAATCCCGAAATCAGCGTTCGGGCGTAAACAAACCCCCGTCCCGGACATAAGGATTTAGGTCCGCGAGCAAACCGGTCAGCGGGACAGGGTCGCGACGGCAAGTTGCAAGACCGAATCTACAACCAAACTAGGCCACCTTAGGCAACCCATCAGATCTTGCAACCCTAACCAACGCCTCAAAAGATAGCCCTAATGTGGCAAGCCGGAGGGTCAGCCTCCACTGGATGCCCCTCCTGGGCATCGCAGCACTTTAATAAGTCCTGTACTGGACAGAAGTCCGACGACCTCTTTCAAACACCTATCTGTGCCCCTATGATTAGTTCTGCAATCCGACCGGATCAGCTCTGCAAACAGCGACGCTACACGAAGCTGCCCAGACAAATTTTGTGCCAGCAGTTGCTTCAGTGCAGAGCACACCCACAAATTCCACATGAACGTCGTCTGTGGAGAGCCGAACGAAACGCACAGATACTCCCTAGTATGAATTTTCAACAAGTAGGCCTAGCCAGGCCACCCACTATATTATCATTTACTAAAATAGTGCGGCAGCTGATTTCAATCTGATAACCTCCAAAACTAGCTAGCCTGTTAGGCAAGTAGTCCTATGCTCATATTTCAACTAATTTTTCAAAAGCATCAATGTTCAACTACAGAATTAATTCAACCAAATTAATCACCGATGCGCATAGGTCAACTTGCAAATTAAACAAAACAATAACGTAAGGGACAGCCCTACTTCTTCGCAAAGCAAATGAATTCAAATTTTCCTTTCAGCAAACAGACGCAACAATCAAATACAGTGATTAAATATATGTACAAAACACATGCAGTAGCATTTAAAGGAGTAGATTAAATTCAATTCTTTTAATTTAAACCGCTACAAATAGGAAAATTTCGCGGAAAGCCCAAAGCAATTTTTAATTTTAATTCAAGTATTTTTTGACTAAGTGCTCGACCAAACCAAATCTAATACCCCTTGACAGCGTGATTCAACGCTCCAGAGAGGCCCTAATCTTCCCACCACCAAGGGGAGGCCACATGGCGTGAACCCGAGATCGTTAACAGTCGCCACTCGGGTTGTACGCCTTCACTGAGGCCGTCGGCAACAGAACATTTTGACAAGTGGACTGTTGACGGCTTAAGGCTCAGTGGAGGTGGCCGTGGTGGGAGCTAAGGCGGCAGCTAGCCAGGGCCGCCTCCATCAAATGGGGAACAGTGGTACACCAGTCGCGGCCACTCAGCTAACGGGAGCGAGAAGGGTCCAGCGGACCGATGAGTGGCCGTGAAGTTCCTCTCCACACGCTTAGGGGGGGGTGATGAAACCCCCGCCCCTGGGCAGATTACCCCCCGACTGGTCGGGTGAGGGACCCCTTTCAAACTTAGGGGCCTGATGGCTGGCCGGCGGGCGCCGAGAGTCGCTCGGCAGAGGGCGTGGCTGAGTGCCCCCGCCCGTGGGGGTCGAGGGCCTGGCAGAGCCCCGAGAGGAGACGCCGTTCGCACTCAGGCACAAAACGGCATGATAATTGCCCTGGCAATGCAGACAGGACCGCCGATGCGGACAGTCTCGCTGGAGGTGTCCTTCCAAACATGAGCAGCACCAGCGGCGTTCCTTGGCGATAGTTCGCCTCGCTGGAACCGGCTTACCTAATAATTTCGGGCACGACGTTACCCGGTGATCAGATGCTCGACAATAGGAGCAGGGGGGGGGGGGTTGACGACGACTTGCCTGGAGGATTCAGCCTCTCACTGGGCATGGCTCGTAAGTCGTCAACGGTGCCCGCCGCGTTCTCTATCTGCCGGCACTGCTCCTCCAAAAACCTCAGCAGGTCATAGAAGGGCGGAAGATAGGAGGCCTCGTCTCCGCCGTACCTCTCCTCAAAATGGATTCGAAGGTCGAGAGGTAGACGGGACAGCACGATGCGGAGCAACAAAAAAGCCCATTCGCCCACTGGTAAATCCAGCCGCCTCAACGTATCACAGGCCACCAAGACTGGATCGAACAGGTCTGGACGCAGTCTGGCCCGGTCACTAAGCAGCGGGAGGCTTAGAAGCTGCTTAACATGTTCGTCCGCAATTCGCCGGACGATGGCGTATCTTCGGGCTAGAAGGTCCCGAGCAGTCTGGTAGGCGTCATCCGACAATCTCAAGTGGCCGACGACGCCCAGGGCCTCTCCCTCCAGTGAGGCCAGGAGGTACGCCATCTTTTGGCTCGGGGTCAAGTCACTCCGAGCGTCCACTAGGCTGTCGAAAAGACCAACGAAGGTCAGCCATTCGGAAAGGACCCCGGAGAACTTTGGCAGGTCCAGAGTTGGGAGTCGTCCCAACAGCTCCGGCTGAAGCTGCTTCAGAGAGGACTCGGACAGGTCACTCATCCGAGCTTCACGCGCCTCCTCGGCATACCTGCCTTCAGCCTCGATCAACTCGTCCGTGAGCCACAAGAACTGCTCATAGTCCGCGAAGCAGGAGTCCAGGACTCCCTTCTCCACATCCGAATCCTCGAGCTCAGCGTAAGCCTCCTCCACTGCGGCCCTACGAGCATCCACCTGCTCGAACCGCTTCATCAAGTTATGGACCCTATCCGATCGACCTATCAAAGCATGGGCGCTTGTGGCCCAGCGCAACTCAGTCCGCAGACAACGGATCAGTAGCTTGGGCGATGACATCACTATTAATTACAAAGATAACAAACAAAAAATACAACAAAAATTAACAGTTAATAAATGCAGCTCCTATCAAATCGCGTTGAATAGCAATTACGCAAATACGAATTACTACGTACCAACCAAATACAAGTTAGCACAAAAGGAAAGACACAAATCAAATTAACAAATAGCAAATACTAGTGCGATCAAATCAAGTTAAATTCAAATGGCGCAAATACAAATTACTACTCTTTAGTTCAAATACAAATTACAGTATAACCGAAGATACACATCACGGTCGATCAACAAAAATGCCTAGCTCGGAAATCGACCCTTCGATAAGTAATCCACTACAACTATCCGACAACGATAATTAACCGATTACGTAAAAATAACCATCTACCTACATGACGTATATCTCTAGAAAACTCCCGCTTGCGCAACCTAGGGCGCGGCTTTTCAAATCTACCCACTAACCAAAAAAAAGGCAAGCAACAAACAACAAAGGGAAATAATTTTATTATTACGTACAAAAAAATATTTTTACGTATTACGGACGGGCGTGATTGTAGATACAAATTAAACCAATCAAACCAACGCTCCCTGCCACCAGAATTGTTTAATGTTTATCAAACACTTTGGTCGGGATCGACCGGGAATCGAACCCGGAACCGCGCTCTGCTACCAGTTTGTTACGGCCTACGGCAACTCCCTTAAAGGATCCAATCCTCTGGGGCCCATGAGCAGAAGACTTCCCGAGCAAACGTAGGTCGGGCCTCAATATGGCCACGTGGAAATTCCTAATTACAATAAACCAGATGGGAGGACGTTAGAAGGACATAGTACTTACCATTATCCGAAGCTAACTTCGCACCAAGGCTTGGGCAGGCCGTGAGTGTGTGTAATAGTGGATGGAGAGTAGTGTACAGTGAGGGGTGAATGTGTGGGGCCTTGTCAAGCATAGGCGACCAGCCGCTGCCGAGTTCCAGGCTGCTCCAAAATGCTGCCACACTGCTTCAGACTGCTTCGGCGCCGGACCACAGTCACTTTCTTCTCTCGTCACGAGGACAGTCAATTAACTCTATAGTACGATTAACTAACTTACAGAAGCCACTAACTATCGCTGGGTATAAGGTTAACGCACAAACGCACACGGAGTTTAAAGGTCACGGCCGTTTCGCGTAGCAACAGTTAGTTCTAGAATATCAGAGGCCGCACTAGCTAATATTGTCGAATGCACTTATACAGATTCTGAGTCGGACCCAATAAGTCCCGGGAAAGGCTATCCAAACAGGGAATGCGCGTTGTAATTCCTAGACAGGATATTTACTAGACGCCCTAACTATTCCGCGGTTCCCGCACAAAATTAACAGCGTGCAGACATTAGCACATCTGGCAGACGACTGATTCGCTTGCGACCCGCGCGCCACTTGCCACGCTCGGCCGAACTTCAAACCGGTATCGCTGATCTGCGCGCCCTCTAACGTCAATCCCGAAATCAGCGTTCGGGCGTAAACAGTAGTTGTACAACAAGGCACTCTTATAGTTTCGCTATGTCCAAAGATCATTGTTCGTCACTCCATAGTAAATGCTCCCGAGCCCACGAAAGCCGCCGACCGTGATTACCACGTCGCAATGCTGAAGCACATAGTGGTCTTCAAGCATGAAGACCAACTTCATGCAACCTCCTTCGTACGGTTTGGTCACTTACCAGCAGCTGGTGGTCCTCCTGGAGCCTTTGTAGTAGTTGCATCGCTGTGATATTGGGTTGTCTTCTGGCGGTCATTTGGAGAAATCAATCCTGTCTCTGCGTAGTAACACGATGTCTACCCGTGTGCCGTTCAGCCACATCCCCAGTACTGCGATAACGTGACCACAACTTTGACATCACGTTTTGGCTGGTGTGTAGGGCATCAGCAACGACGCGTTAAGTAGCACTATTTTCTAACATACACCCACGGCTCGTAACATTTCATATCGACTCGAATGACGACATCCCAAATATTTTGAATATTTTAGAATTTACGTAGTCTAGCTGTTGAGTACCTGAATTATATCGCTGTACCCAGGTACAGCTGAGCCCAAGCTCGAATTCCAGAAATGTTTCTGATACTGGACCTCAGCTTATCTTCGATCTTATCGCATATGATACAAAAAAAACAATCATACAATCTGGGTGTCTTCAAGGTGAATATGCTTCATGGCTTCTATGGCTTCATTACTACTTACCACGTGGGGTTGTGGTTAAGCACTGTCTGACAAGGAGTAGAGGGAATGTGTGTGTGTTTATGTGTATGTGAGAGAGAGAGAGAGAGGAAGAAAGACAAAAATATTTGCTCTTAATTATGGTATTTAATATAAGTGACACTTCCGAAGGTAACATGTGGGCACAGAACTGGAAGTCGATAATGGATTTGGTGATGCCGTTTCCGAGTTCGCCCAGCCTCGACGTCACCTCGGAGATGCTTCGCCAGGGCTTCACACCGCTCAGGTCAGCCGTCAATATTCTTGAACACGATTATTTGGATTTTATCCGTGATCATCTTATATTTAGAATATGAATAGTGGTGCAGAAGTTAATACCCTTACCTTACTTCTTTTATAATATTTTTCATTTATCTTTAATTCTGGTTAGAAACCTTCAAAAATAGGCCATTGTGTAACTCCATAAGAGAGCACCTTTACCGGTACACAATCCACCTGTTGGTAAGTGGATACTGTGGCCCGTAAACATCCACATCCATCTACAACCGAGAATCAAAATGCAGATGCACTGCCTCCCGCCACCCCTGAGGACTAAGATGTAATGGTTCTTTATTTCTGTTTTACTCACCATACGAAACACAGCAGCATTAAGCTACTATTTTACGCTGGCATTCTGTGAAAGCGTCGACCTTCCCGGTCGAGCCGACCAATTTCTACAACCATAATATAGCTGCAGTTTTAATTAAATACTACCATTTTTCGGTCATCAAAGCTTCGTTATGTATTAAATAGGTGCAGGGGTTGTTTGCTTCACGTCTCAATTTCAATAATAATAAAAAAAATTAGTGGGAAAAAAAGTAATAATTATATGTTTCACGTTTTACATCATACTTAAGTATAGAATGCTGAAAATTACGATGCTCCGAGTTACTATCAGTGTCGACGATATTAACGAGTTTCGTCTCGCATGGTTAGTTCTCTCTCTATTACCATTTTGTATGTTATTTCTCTTTAGGTCGTTGTTTTAATATAACTATACTTCTTGAAATGGTATTGGTTTGAAGAAAACACTTCGCATGTATGAATTACTCAATTGAAATTCATAACTCAATAGATTTTTTTAAATATTTTATTTTAATTGAAATAAAAAATAATTTAAAGAGGTATTCAACACATTTTTCATTATTTCTTATAATTTTGAAATTATCATTTACCTATTATTATACATCAGCTTATAAACGTTCACTGCTGGATCCGTCCGTTTGGTTCCAACCACAGTATCAGACGTGAGCATATGTGACACTGTTGCCCGTAGCCAGTCTGGATAATATATTTTACCTCTGGCGTAAACAAGATGTCTTAATACAATTTATCGTAAGATGCACGATTTTATACGAGGTAGAGCTGTCATTCTGCAGCTATAATATAGTTGTAGCACGAATGGGTTAGCTCAACTGTGAAGGCTCATCAGAATATGTAGAGAACCTGATACCCTTTTTATTGGAAACCAGGCATTCCATCTTAGCCTTCAGGGTTGACAACGCATCTGAATTTTAATTCTTAACTAAGGTAAGATGTATATTAACCGTCTGTATAAAGAGGCGCTTTGTAAGTGGTATAGAGTGACGGTTGCGATGGTTGCAACAGTTGCGATGTGTTCGGCAGGATGTTCCAAATGGCGGAAGAGTTCTACACGTCGATGGGGCTGAAGGCGCTGCCGCCGGAGTTCTGGCGCGCCTCGCTGCTGGCGCGCCCGCAGCGCGCCGGCGTGCAGTGCACTGCCAGCGCCTGGGACTTCTGCAACCGCATCGACTACAGGTGCACCTCTACACTCCACACTACACTGTGCACTCTTCACTGTGCATTTTACACTGTACACTATACACTGTGCATTATACACTGTACACTCGCCTTTACATGGTCGATTGCACATTTACACTCGACAGCATATGTATAATCGCTAACACATGTACACTCGACTACACATGTACACTCGACTACACATGTGCACTCGACTGCAAATGTACACTCGACTGCATATGTACATTTGACTGCACATTTACACTCGTCTGCACAATTAGACTCGCCTGCACATGTATACTCGCCTACACATTTACACTTACATTCATTTTATACTCTACTTCATATGTGCACTTACATGCACGTGCACCCTCATCTACATTTATGGGATTACCTGCGCATGAAAATTAACAAATATACACACTCACTGCACTGCATATGTGCACTTTTACCATTATCATTATCAATCTATCAAAAGTCCACTGCTGAACATATGCCACTCCCGTAGGTCACCTCATAGAAAGGATATTTGCCATAGAAGACCTGATAAAACATGCAAGAAGTCGATGGATGCAGGTGGCTCAGGACCATCTTTGTGGCATTCCTTGGGGGAGTCCTATGTTCAGTAGTGAACTTGTGAAGAACTGTAATGATGATGATGTATTCTGTATATGTTCGTTGGTTGGCGTGAGGTTAATATGACGAGTGCGCAGGATCAAACAGTGCACGGAGGTGAGCATGCAGGACCTGGTGTCCACGCATCACGAGATGGCGCACATTCAGTACTACCTGCATTACGCGGAACAGCCACAACTCTTCAGAGACGGCGCCAACCCAGGTCAGTAGTGTTTATAGAAACTGTTACCGTTACCGTTACAGCCTATCTAAGTCCACTGCTGAACATAGGCCTCCCCCATAGATTGCCGCATGGAGGGGATATTTGCCTTAGTTGTCACGTTTGGTAAGCGGGTTGGCTACTGCAGTTTTTTTATTCTTAGTTGTTATTAGAAAGACGCTGCCGCACATCTCCTGATTTGTTTCTCTCTGTCATCTCTTACGACACCCACGAGATGAGTCGGGTTGTGTATATTCTCACACGGTGTTTTTTTTTGTTTTCAGTTATAAACCAACTTATTGTCCAGCTGATGGTAACTACTGCATCTCACTTGCAGCAAAGTAATGCCAATCTTACGCCCTATATTAAAGTCTTATTGTGAGATGATACGTAGGTAAGCACTTTAGCAGCCTCTCATCTCGGGAGTACCTCGTTTAGAACCGGGACGGAATCACAGGCAGCTAAACTAAGTAATTGACGCAAATATGAGTATCTAAGAGATGACTATATATTTGCACCATTTACTGTAGAGACTATAGATCCGTGGGGTCCACATGCGGTAAAGTTTCCAGAGTTTTATAGCGTAGCCAGTCGTAAGACCGAAAGAATTAATTTTAATTCTTATTAGTGTTTTCAAGTTTGTGTTTGATTTTCATTATAAGTTAATTTTTTACCCTTTTGAGTGGACTAATAATGAATATCACAATCTCAACGTTGTCTCAATAATTTCGGGTAGATTTATTTCGCCAAACTTATATGGGACCGCTCCTGAAGTATAGCCTATATAATAAAGGAAAAACATGCCTGAGTGTCGTAAAACATTCAGTTAGAACGAATTTCCTTTCGTACTATATTATTATTGATAAACGTATTATATTATTTATTAACAAATACAAATAAATGAATTTCTAGCGACTATTAAAATGAAGCGTAACTTAAAATAAAATAATATTTCTTTCGTGGCAAGATAAGAAAATGTGCGAGGTAGATGGATATTATTCCATCTTGCTCGCACTATAGAAAGGGGACCGCGACAGAGAAATCTTACACTTTTTCTTGATTAGCCTCCAGCCGTAAAATTCGTACCTTGCGATAAATAACTTCCTTACAAAATCATCAAAACCGGTTCACAACTGACGAAGTATCTCGTAACATACATTCAAAAAAAATATACAGTAGAATACCTGTACCTTCTTCTATTTTAAAGTCGCCTAGAAAATTTCTTTCGTGCTACAAACATTATAAAAAAAGGGAGTTAGTCGCAATTATTACTTATATTATGTAAGAAAATACTACAAATTGAATAAAACTAATATTGATGGGTTTTATCACCGTCTTTTATCAACATTTAAAATAATTTAAAAATAACCTGATAAAAGAGATTAATAGTTCACGCGTGAGATAATTAAAACATTAAGTTAAAAGATAATAGTTTTTTCTTTTTATTTTTGATATGTGAAAACTTTGTAAAGCAATACATTGTAAGACAAAATAAAAAAAAAAACTGTAAGTTATGCAGAAAACAATAAAATAAAATGAAGAATACATAAATATTTCTTTAATACAGAAATGTTAACATTTTTTTTTTAATTTTCCTAAAACACGTTACCTTCACAATATGATTTTCTCCTATATCTTGGAGTTAGTTTGCATACATAAATCGCTCTAGGACAAACATCCAGACTCGGAACAATTACTTGTAGGCCATACGAATACTTGTTCCGTGCGGGATTCGAACCGGCGGCCCTTATCACTACAACTCATTACTAAGCCACTGAGCCACCGTGCCGTCAAAATAACTATTAATATTTGAACACGTTGAACACGTGCCTCCGTGGCGCAATCGGCTAGCGCGTTCGGCTGTTAACCGAAAGGTTGGTGGTTCGAGCCCACCCGGGGGCGGGTACACTTTTTACTCAACTCCTTAACTGCTTAATTGTCCACTGCTGCATTGCTAGCATGGGTTAGGGACAAAATATTTATCCCCAGATTATATCCACTGACAAGAGATAAAATTATCTTGTCCTTATGCCAAAGCACGGCAACGGGGAGAAGTTTATCCCCGTTTGTCATAACGAGTAGAGACATATATACCCCGTCCGTAGCATGGAGCCAAATGAAAGATTTTTGAGAGGGATAATTTTATACTCGTTCATTGGACGTGGGTTTAAGTTTATATTCATAGAAAAAATCTATCTATTTCCCATTTTATCTATTGTGGATATTACATCCAACGGTGTGCTCATGCTCGAAGGGTGGATAAAACTAAGCGAGGGAATAAAAATTTTCTCCTTTCCCCGGGGATAAAATTGTCTCCTGCCCATGCTAGCCCTGCTAGACATAAACCATAAAGCTTGGCCTAATCGCCAATAGATATGTTATCGCCGTACCAAAGATCTTGCAACCTTGACCTTGCCACCGCCGGTTGCACAGTAATTATCGTTAATTAGAGGTTCTAAGAACACGCGCATGGGTAGAGAAGGGTAATTGACAATACAGCAATACTGAATGGGGCCACAGCAGAGGTAATAAGCCCACACACAAATTGCAAATACAAATTTAGTCATGTTTTCTGAAATAAAGTTATTTCTATATGTTTGAATACTGATTCTGATAACGCACTCAACGGGAACCACAGGGTTTTGTTACATGTTGCATAGTACAATAATAATAAAATTATAATAAAATATTTATTTGCATAAAACATGGTACATTTTTAGGTCTTATAACATAGTGTAAACACACATGTTTTACCTATTTATCGGTATGCAAATATTACGTCGACATGCAATATAAAAATATAATAGAATTAGAAAATTAGAAAATTACATCAACATTTCATATCAAAATTTAATAAAACAGTATAATGTCAATAAAAAAAGAAATAAAAATAAAAAGTATACAGGCATGGTCATGTCATAATGCATAATATCAAACTGGTATAATGTCAACCTTACAAATTCGAATTCATTTGTCAATTTAAAATTTCAAACATCAACAACAATTCGCTTGAGGTGACCGTCACGTCACGGCAGAATTTGATAAATTCATTTATGTCATAAATAAAAACAGTTTTCAATCAGAATCCCGAAAATAATTTTATTTATAGATATATATTACGAGTAAACTACAAACCTCCATCTTCATGCGATCTATTTGTTGTTTCCTAGTCGCTTCTTACGACGGAAGGCAATTCAGTGATGGATTATATAACGTCATTACTATTTGGCGTGAATAAACTTCTTCAACTTCTTCAGTCATCCGTAAAAATTCCACTCCTGGATGTCGGTCTCTTCCGTTATCTTAATCATCACGCTAGCCTGGCGACCCACGCACCCTATACCTATATCTGCGGCGAAGTTCAAACAAAAATGCTACAGACGATGCCAGCCTGAGGACTAAGATGTGATGCCTCATGGCATGTAATTATAATGACTGAGACTGACTAGTTCACATCAGTGCACACCCTGCTATTTGACAGCAGAAATAGATAAGATGGTACTTACCCAGACATATTCCAAGGCAGAAAGGGAATCCTATTACTTCATGGTTTCACATAAGTTTGTGGCAAGAATATGTTTGAATGGCAGGGCTGATTGCTTGCAGCGTTCCATGAAGCGGTGGCGAACGCGGCCACGCTGTCTGTGTACAACGCGCCACACTTACAGCGTCTCGGACTCTACAATAACAAGTGAGTTTTTGCACCTTTTTCCAGCTTTTGCTTCTTTTACAGCTTCACTTGGTAAGGCTGCAGTGTTAAGGCTGCAGAGGTCCAGGATCGACTCGTCTGAGGAAAGATCAATCGATGTGAGATTAAATGTAGATTATAAAAGAAAAGATCCTCTGAAGCCGGTAAAAGTCCACTGTTACTGCAGTCCATGGGCACTTCCAACTTACTCCTAACTAAGAAGACTACAGAAGAGTTGTTACCTCTGAGGACTAAGATGGAATGCCTCACAGTCTGGAATTAAACTAGACGCCTCTTAGAATACCCAAAGGATATGGGTTAGTGAAGTTTTGTACGCCGTTGGACGGATTTAGTTATATTAACAACCGTGAAAACCGTTGTCGCCGTGTAAGAATATTCAATACCATATGGTCCCGTGGGTGTCGTAAGAGGCGAAAAGGGTAACTGGAACAGGGGATGGGCAGCAGCATCTTATAATTCAAACAATTCAAAACAATAACACACGTCTGATTTCATCTGCAGGTCTCACGACCAGTATGAGGTGAGCATGAACTTCCTCATGGCGATGGCGCTGGAGAAGGTGGCCTACCTGCCCTTCGCGTTCATGGTCGATCAGGTGAGTCGGTGCGAGCTGGTTTACAACGTAAAACGTGTTTCCGGGAAACAGCTTTGGAATCGTGTCGGCGGATTTAGCAGGTCTTTCAAATATTTTCAATTTGTTCCATATGCCATACTAAAAATGCAATTACCATTTCATTTAGTGCAAGTTGCGTTCGAACTCAGGTTGCTCGCGTACTTTAAAATGTTATGGTTGTTTTGAGGTCATGTCAACCGCATGAATAATAAAGAATTACGAATTTATTACTTTTTTATGTAGAATAAGGAGCGAAATAAGAAATGTAGCTAAACGATTTTTATAGTTTTTAATAATAATAAATTTATATTATATATAAGATAGTGTATTAAGAATTAAAAATTATTTTCAGAATGTGAAATGATTAATATTCTTTTCAGCTGATGTTTGAAATCGGCTTTTACTTATTATTAAAAGTTATTTTTTTACGCTTTTGAGTGGAGTTAACGAATTTCACAATCTTAATGACGTCCAAAAATTTGTATTTAAAATTTTTGAATAGAGTTTTATTTCCAAATTTATATAGGACTAGCTTTTCCTCGCGACTTCGCCCAATCTGGATTTTTTGGGCGGAAATCTAATGTAAAAGTAGCCTAAGTTACTCATTATAACATCAGCTACTTATCTGCCAGTGAAAGTCCCATCCGAATCGGTTCACAGGTTTTTGTGTGATACGTGTTCACGCCAAAATAGCTCGCAGATGACAGATTTTTTTCAGACTTACTTAACATGTATCGTAATATTTTGGCCAGTTAACGCAATATTTTTATGAATTATATAATTATAAAATATATGGCTTATGTGTTATTCTTATCGACTTCGCCCGCGTGTTATTTGGAGTTTTAGTTTTTTTGCGCGGAACCCTAATTATTTTTCTAAAATAAAAGTAGCCTATGTTACTCCTTGTGACATCACCTATCTGCCAGTAAAAATCCCATCAAAATCGATTCAGCCGTTTCGGAGATTAGCCGGAACAAACAGAGACACAGACAGACAGACACACAGACAGACAGACAAAAACTTTAAAAATTGTATTTTGTTATTAGTACCGTATATACTTTCATATACATTTAGCAAAAAGCTGTAATTTTAACAGTACAGACACTTCAATTTTATTTATTTGTATAGATTATTAGGATAGTATTATCGTAGAAGTATAAACTATTTTACATAAAAGAATCATCAAAATCTGTTCCCAATTGACGAAGATATCGCATGACATACATACAAAACAAATACATACATACAGTCGGATTGTTAACTACTACCCCTCTTTTTGTTGATTCGTTAAAATAGTGAAGTTGTTTGTATTTCATACGTTTGCAGTGGCGCTGGTCCGTGTTCGAGGACGGAGTCCAGGACATGAACGCCAGGTGGTGGCAGATGAAGCTCAGGTACCAGGTAAACGCTGCCGTTCTAGCATTTTATTACTTTCCTGATTAAGGAGTTTTACATTAAATTCAGAAAAATGTAACACTTTAAGAATCACCTACAGATGTTATGAATACATTAGCAAAAACCCACGTAATAAAATAAAATAATTTTGTGTATTAGCTAGTTTGAAGAGCAGCTCTCGTCCTCCTTCAATAGACTCTGCGGTGGTTGACCCTAAGGCTAAGCGTCCACTAGGCTCACCGAGCCGAGTCAAATCGAATCGCAGAAAGTCGCCTCCTATATATTTACTACTAGCTGTTCCCCGCGACTTCGTTCGCGTGTTAGGGTTTTTATGTTTCTGCGCGGAACCCTGATTCTTTTTCTAAAATAAAAGTAGCCTAAGTTACTCCTTATGAAATCAGCTATCTGCCAGTGAAAGTCCCGTCAAAATCGGTCCAGCCGTTTCAGAGATTACCCGGAACAAACAGACAGACAGACAGACAGACAGACAGACAAAAATTTTAAAAATTGTATTTTAGTTATAGGTATCGTATTTACTTTCATATGCATTTAGTAAAAAACTGTAATTTTGACATTACAAACAGACACTTCAATTTTATTTATTTGTATAGATTGTATAGATGAAACTGCGTCCATTAGCGACGAGGCGCGGCGCGCCGAATTGTATCGACCGCGCGAATTGCTTGACAGGTGAATTTCTTCGACGACGCGATTCAATTCAACTCGGCGCGCCTCAGTCGACGTGGAGAAGTGGATGCGCGCCAGCGTATTTTAATTAATTTATATTTCGTTTTCGTAAAAATCTTTTTTAAAAATGAATGAAGAACTATTGATATCACTGGTCCAACAATATCCAGAATTGTTTAATCATGAAGATCCACATTATCATGATGAAATGAAAACATCTCTTCATCCGAGATGTCCATGACGCAAATATGACCTATTTTGTTGAAGAATTTGCGATGAATGAACAATTCGATTCGACTCGTCAGAGATGGACGCACTAGGAATAAATGCGACTCGCTTCGATTCGACGCATTTCTGCTGTAATCGACGCCAGGCTTAAGATGTTAGCGGGCAGCCACTGTTGTGGCGGCGCTGTCGTCGCGCCACAAGCGAAACACATCGAAGCCTAAATCGCACTAACAAAGTTCCGAAGTTAAAGCAGTATATAATATAGAATAGCTCCGAACTACCAATCGGAGCGTTGGCCGCTCCCCGGGCAGAACATCTTGCCCGGCGGGAGATCTCCCCTTTTCCTTCTACCCGCACTACTGTACTCGTATTCTACTTCACCCGAGGATGTCTCGTTTAGAGGCAAAACACGTGTCGTATTATCGCCGGTGGTGTGTCTTTCCTATAGTAGTGGTGTTGGGAGTAGTGGTGACGGGGATAGCGCATGCAATTGAGGGAGAGCGGGGGGGTGTTCTTCAAACTAGATAAGATACATCACTTTATTTTATTAGGAGGGTCATAGCTAACTAATTTATAATATCTCTATGTATAAAAATGAATTGCTGTTCGTTAGTTTCGCTAAACATCAAAAACGGCTCGGCCGACTTTTCTGATATTTTTCGTGTATATTTGAATGCGTCCCTAATGGTTAAGATTTACATTAGGACCCGGTAGGTAGCGCTGTTGTCGAGTGCGAAGCCAGGGCGTATCGCTATTGTTTAATATAATGTATGAAAGTAACGCCTGATTCTATTAATAAACTGATTGTCTGTATTTAAGTTCATGTTGTGTAAAGTGAGGATTGCGTAGCATTTTTTGGCAGGCGGATTGGCAATGTCAGCACTACAGGTTTCTCATTTTTGAGTTATTTATTTATTTAAACTTGGAAACCTAACGGCTGTTTAATAACACTGTATGGTACATACGTAATGCAAAAAGGAACTGTATTAAAAGTTTTCGCAAATGGAATCACTCGCCTGATTTCTATCCGGTCGTGTCGGCTTACCATCCCATCGGACTTTGAGAGTGAGGGAATAGAGAGTGCACCTGTGCTGTGCACTTGAGCACTATAATCCTGCCCTGCGCAGATAGCGAGTATCTGTTGAGACTGGCCGCCCGCGCCGTGACCTAAAATCTTCCCAGTAACAAATATAAAATAATTACCTGTAGTAGCCAACCTGGCTATCAAGCATGGTAACTATGGCAAAAATGTGGCATACTTGGGCTATGATGTACCTAAAGGGCGGCATATGATTAACAGTGGACTTTGATGGGCTGTAATGGATTTTTTTATAGGATAAGGGTGACAAACGAGCACACAGTCCACCTGATGGTAAGTGGTTGCTGCGGCCCATAGACCTCTCCATTTATCCTCAATAAAGAATCAAAATGCAGATGCGTTGTCACCCGTGAGGAATGAGATGGAATGCATCGTTTCCAGTAAAAAGGGTTTCCGGTTCTCTACACTCGCCATACGAAACACTGCAGCTGCTATTTTACGCTGGTATTCTGTGAGAGCTTGGTACTACCCCGATCGAGGCGACCCATTCGTGCTACAACTATACTACTAATATAGCTGTAGCATAGCTCTACAACATAAAAATATAATATAGCTAAATGAATAAGTGACATATTTGTCCAATAAGTTAAGTTAATAAGTTTTAAGCTTACCAGGAGTGGTTAAAGGGAATATTAGTAATGTTCATACCATTACTAATATTGTTTGATATATTTTGTTCCAGGGTGTGATCCCGCCAATACCGAGAACGGAAGCGGATTTTGATCCCGGCTCTAAATACCACATCATCTCCGACCAGGTTTGTAAATCAATTTCTTTTAGTAATTAGTGTTCAAAAACGCTACCCTCCCTGTAGCATTCTCTCGTGTATCGCGGGGACATTATGCATAAATAGCACAAGAACAAACATCAAGACCGAGAATAATTGTTTGCAGGTCATTTATGTTGTGTGCGGGATTAAAACGCATATTTAAATAGGTCTGAAGGATGTAGAGAACCAGTATAATTACAGACTATAAGGCGTTCCATCTTCGTTCTCAGAGATCACAAGTCACAGCGCATCTGTAGCTTTGTTTGTTTGTTTCTTTCTTTCTTTGTTCGCTGCAAATTGGTTATATTTGTCCATGGGCTGCAGTTGCTACTAACCATCAGGTGCACATGAACATCGTTTGTCACTTCACTTTTATAAATAAATCAAGAGCTGCTAAACAATATGATTCGTCATTACAGCCCTTCACAAGTCAATATAATTGTGGAAATATCGTTTTAAATTTGGAAGAGTTATATTATTTAATTAGGAATGATAACACATTCATTAAATTTGAATGATATATATATATATATATATAACCACTTTCAAATATATTCGTTAATACGATACGCGCGCTACCTAGTTTAAGTTGAATTGTACTATGCCTAACCTTCGCGCAAGTGCACATAATAAGTTGACAAAGTTTTACCGCAATCTGATGAAAGGAATGACAGCGCATATAGTACGAACAAACGAACATTAATTTTTATATTTCTATATACAAGAGTTCAGAGTGATTTGAGAGAATTTAAACATCGTTCTTACATTACATTCTTTTCGTAATTGTATTATTATGTAAAATATAGCGAGAGGTCTTTTCTTTAGGGTTCCGTGCACAAAAGGTAAAACGGAGCCCTATTAATCACTCTGCTGTTGGTCTATTTTTTTAAACTGAAGTAAGAAACAAACTTACTGTCTACCTGATGGTAAATTGCTGCTGCAGCCAATAGGCACCAGCAGCCAACTTCAAACAGTGAAGACTACTGATGATGCCACCTCTGAGGTATAGAATGCCTCACAGCCTGAATTATACTGGCTCTCTAAGGCCCGTTTATTAAATACATTACTCAGCTCAAGTACACGAACTTGAGTACAATATTGAGGTTATAATCTTATTAAAAAACATATCTCAAGATGCATTTTTGGTTTACAATATCAGCTGAGGGCCACACTGATTAACTAACGAAACTCGACTCTCAAGTGTGTGTGTATTTGAGTGCAAGTCACAGAACAGTATTCCTAAGTACAGCGTTTTGAGATAGTGTTTGTATGTGTTTATTAATTTGCAACGATCTTGAGATGTTGATAGCGTAATGAGGACGTATCAAATGATTACGCACTTAGTTCGTCGTTGAGTAACGATTATTAATACGGGCCTAAGAGTATACCCTTAATCGCTGTGCAGTGCACGCGCTGTTATTTGGCGGCAGCAAAAGGTAACAGGATGGTACACAGGTGGACTTCTTATTAGAAAGAACATTGTAGAAAGTTGTGTTTCTAGAAAGAAAGAAAAATAATTCTACTACAACACGGTGGTTTTGCCAGTTATATTTTTTATTTTTATCGGCTCGTAAAGCCAAAGCTGGATATAGGCTTTCCCCATTGTTGCTTTAATCGCGCTCATCGTCACGCTGTTGTCGTAGGTCTGGGTATTTAATGTCTGTATAAATCGAGATTTCATCTATACAAATAAATAAAATTGAAGTGCCAGACAGACAAAAATTTTGTAAATTGTGTTTTTGTTATAAACACCGTATATACTTTCATATACATTTAGTGAAAAGCTGTTCAATTTTATTTATTTGTATAGATAACAAAAGTCTTAGGAAATTTATGTTATCCCCACAGTCGCCTCTTACCCACGGAACATATCGGATTGGTTGATTATTTTATGCAATTAGACGGTAGTTTGATATTGTTTTTGTGAACACATCTGTAAACCAAAGACTCCTATGTATACTATTAGACCGGCTATTCAGAACAAAATTGTGTCACAGCTAAGAATTGGTAGGGGGCAGGTAGCTGGCACGGTAAATATGCCACACAATTCATTTACGACAGTTGCTGCTTTTAGGCAAATACGAAATAAAGTTACATACATACTTAACTAAAATAAACTTCAAATCACATAACAATAACAGCGTTTTCTTGGTCACATTAAACAAAGTGAGTGTTACATTATTGAAAATAACGTCCGCGGTTTACAAAACAATAGTTCTTTGTTTTCTAAAAATACTTTTTCAGAAAACAAAGAATCTTTTTTTACTGGAAATAAAACATTCCATTTTAGTCGTCACGGGTGACAACGCATCTGCATTTTGAATCTTTATTCAGGATAGATACAGATTTCTATGGGTCACAGCAACCACTTACCATCAGGTGGACTGTGTGTCACCCTATCCTATAAAAAAAAAGTGGCGGAGAATTGACCGTATTGTATTATAACTGTAGTGCTCCTCTCGTAGTGTACATAGGAGTCATTGCTGTAAATAAGCAATGTACTGAGCACCACAATGTGTTGTTTTTGTCAGGAGTACGTGAAGTACTTCCTGGCGACGGTGCTGGAGTTCCAGATCTTCGAGCAGATGTGCCGAGCGGCTGGGCACGCTGGACACCTGCACGAGTGCGACGTGCACCGCAGCCGGGACGCCGGCAGACTGCTCAGGTTCACACCCTGGCCAACTAGACTATCGATCACAGCGACAACTTACTAGCGGCCATTAATCAATCCATTTATCCATCACAACCTATAAAAGTCAGATATTTTCCAATAGGGGGTAGCTCTGTTTCTTATATAGATGAGTATCGTAGTACAATGTTCTTTCTATTGATAATAATAATTCATTCATTCATTCATTACAACCTACCAAAGTCCACTGCTAATGGACATTTATTATATTATTCTAAGCCAGCGCTTAACTACCATTCCACCTGATGGTAAGTGGTGACGTAGCCTAAGATAGTGAAGCGCACTGACTTAACAAAAGCCTATTCACTCTTGCCTTGAAGACAACCACATTGTGATCGGATGAAAACACAGACGCTGGCAACTTATTCCACTCCTTTGCTGTACGCATGACGAACAGTTTATGTTCGAATGCGTGCTAAGTCAACAACGAAGAAGCGGAAATTTTTCTGTAGTTGCCACGCTTGGTAGGCGGGTTGACAACTACAGTTTTTTTACTTTTTAGTTGTTGTCAGAAAGACACAGCTGCCCATATCCTGATGTATTTCCCTCTGTCGCCTCTTACGACACCCACGGAATGATATGGGGTAGTAGATATACTTACACCGGTTTTAGCTATCAATAAAGCAGAAAGTATATTATGTATTTAGAACCTTGTTTTATAAGAAGTTTTTACGTGGTAGAGCCATGCTGCAGCTATATTAGTAGTATAGTTGTAGCACGAATGGGTCGGCTCGACCGGGGAAGCACCACGCTCTCTCAGAATACCAGCATCAAATAGCAGCTTAATGCTGCTGTGTTTCGTATGGTGAGTGTAGAGACCCGGAGAGCCTTTTCACTGGAAAAGAGGCATTCCATCTTAGTCCTCACGGGTGACAACGCATCTGCATTTTGATTCTTTATTGAGGATAAATGTAGATGTCTATGGGCCGCAGGAACCACATACCATCAGGTGGACTGTGTGCTCGTTTGTCACCCTATCCTATAACAAAAGAGTTAAATTATTTCCAATGAAGTAGCTTCTAAGTTGGTACGAAGACGTAGTGAAATGAAAGCCTCAACTTCAGAAGCTATCATCATCATCATTACAGCCCTTCACAAGTCCACTGTTGAACATAGGCCTCCACCAAGTAATGCCACAAAGCACGGTCCTGAGCCACCTGCATCCATCGACTTCCTGTATGTCTTACCAGGTCGTCATTCCATCTAGTGAGGGGAAACCCTACACTTCGCCAAACGGTACGAGGCTTCCACTCGAGAAACTCTTTTCCCCATCGGTTGTCGGTTCTTCTACTACTAATCCGTTGGGCTATGTCGGTTATCTGGTTCTACTGCAGTAAGGTTGCTGAGCGACCTTCAGCTTCCTCATACGGCCAGCAGTGAAGGACCACGTCTCAGTTGCATAAATCATCGCTGGCAACACACTGGTTGTGCAGTCTCGTTTTCAAGTTTTCAGGCATACCTGACGAAAAGATGTGTCGTAGTTTCCCGAACGCTGCCCAGCCGAGTTGAATCCGTCGATTGACCTCTTGGTCGAAGTTGGACTTACCTCGTCAACAACTTTGAGCTTAGTGCTGCCAACAACTACCGCCATGGACGTTACACATAACTTTTGTTTTGCTCATGTTCACCTTAAGACCTATCCGTCGGGAGACACGACTGAGGCCATTGAGCTTAGTGTTTAGATCCTCCAGCGATTCTACCATAAGGTCTACATCGTCGACAAATCGAAGGTGAGTGATGTACTCGCCATTGACGTTTATACCGTACCCTTTCCAGTCCAGTAGCTTGAAAACGTCTTCCAATGTAGCGGTGAAGAGTTTCGGGGAAATAACGTCACCCTGTCTAACACCTCTCTGTAGTTGAATAGGTTTCTTACTCTAGTTCTGTACTCGGATAGCCATCGTAGCCCTACTGTACAAATACTTCAGCATTTCGATATACCGACGGTCAACTTGGCAACAATGAATGGACTGTAGAACCGCTCAAATTTCGACGGAATCAAAGGCTTTCTCATGGTGTACATGTGCCAGACATAGTGGCAAATCGTACTACTCGGACTTCTATACAATTTGCCGAAATTGACCCTGACATACAGTATGTGTTTTGTGTATCTATGGTGTTAAAGCCTCTTCGGAAACCGGCTTGGTAGGGAGGCTGGAAGTTGTCGAGTCTGCATGTGAGCCGATTCGTAATGACTCTTGAAAACAGCACAACAGAAATCGGTCTGCAGTTCTTCAAGAGAGCGTTGTCGCCTTTCTTGAAGAACAAGATCACCGCACTTCTACTCCACGCCTCCGGTGTAGTGCCACCATGGAGAATGGAATTAAAGAGCTTCTGAAGACTTTAAGTACTGGTTTTCCACCCGCTTTCAGAAGCTTTGCTTTAATTCCATCCTCGCCTGGGTTCTTGCCGTTTTTAAGAAGCTGGAGAGCCATTCTGACCTCGGTCAGACTGACGTCCGGAATATCATCGGAATAGTGTCAGATAAGACTTGCTCTTGGATCGTAACTCACACTTGCATGTGGCTCCAACGATGATGTGTACAGCTGTCCGTAGAACCTCTCTATCTCACTCGAAATCTCAGGTGTCCCAGAAACGTGGCTGCCACACTCGGTCTTCACCTTCGACAGTTGGCTCTGTCTGGCAGACAGATCTCTAGCAAAGACTTTGGAGCCTTGGTACCGCTCAATCGCTTCTTCAATACGTGCTGTATTGAAGTTGTGTAAGTCCTGCCGTATACATTTGGAGATCTGTCTTTTCATTTGCCTGTACGAAAAACGTTGAAATCTGCTGAAGAATACAGCTTCATTTCCTGTCTAAAAGCCATTAGATTTAGAGTGTGAACGGAGAGTTTTAGTGTTCTTCTGCGGTGGGTCTTGCAGAACTTAGGTCCGACCGTATGAACAGTTTCCACGAGCTTGTCATTCATATCGTCCACTGCATTGCAATCTTCTAGGCACTTGAAACGGTGTTCTATCTAGAACTGAAAGGTTTCGGGACTCTGGATTAGAGCATGAGGGGGACGGAGGGTTGACTTCATTAGACGATACCTCTCCAACTTAACGTTTAGGTTCAGTGTGCCTCTAACCATTCGGTGATTGCTACCAGTTTTCACCCTCGCGATCATTGACACATCACTAAACAGTTGTCGTCTGGTCGTCATAATGAAGTCAAATCTCATTTTTGTCGAACCGTCGCGGCTCGACCAGATCCACGTCAGAACGCCAGAACCGTCGTTTGGGGTCGCTTCTGGAAGAAAGAGTTCATCATTAAGAGTCTCTATTTCTCTATGAATTCGGCCAGCTGCTGGCCCCTTGGGTTACGTTGAATACGTTACCAACGTTATACGTTACGTTGATAAGAATTGTATTGATGCGGATTTAACATAACATGTACCTTTTTGAAGGCTTCTTTTGGGTGAATATTTTAAAATGGTGTGTTTCTTCTTGCAGTGAAATCATGCAGGCGGGCTCGTCGAAACCGGCCTCGGAGATTATTCGCACGATGACCCGGGGTAAAACCAACAGGATATCACCGGAGGCGATCGTCAAGTGAGCAACCTTATCCCACGTCACAGCAGCCTTTTTGAGTACACTACTGGCCTTAGATTTTTCTAAGAATTCACCATTCAGAAAAGATTTTTTTAACGTCACCCCCTTATTACATTCTCTTCAGAATCGTGGAGACTTTAATATACATATAATCTTTCACTCAGACAAACTCTTTTACCTGGAACAATCATACATTTGTGGCGGGTAGAAGGAGTAGGGGAGATCTCCCGCCGGGCAAGGTGTTCTGCCCGGTGAGCGGCCAGCGCTCCGAATGGTAGTTCGGAGCGTTTCTATATATATTGCTTTAATTTCGGAACTTTGTTAGCGCGATTTAGGCTTCGATGTGTTTCGCTTGTGGCGCGACGACAGCGCCGCCACACATTCATCATGCCTTACAGACTATCAAAGTTCACTGTAAAACATAGGGGGGTATTTCCACAACAATCAATCGTATGTAAATTAAACACTTGTTCCGTGTGAGATTCAAAGCAAAAACCCAATGTCCTGACAGCTGCTGCTGTATATACAAGGTAGAGCGACGCTGCAGTATGGATATAGCACGAATAGGTCGGCTCGACCGGGGAAGGACCACGCTCTCACAGAATACCAGCGTAAAATAGCAGCTTAATGCTGCTGTGATTTATATGGTGAGTGTAGAGAACCGGACACCCTTTTTACTGAAAACGAGGCATTCCATCTTAGACCTCTGGGTGACAACGCATCCGCATTTGCAATTAAGGATGAATGTAGATGTCTATACCATCACGTGAACTGTGTGCTCGTTTGTCACCCTTGTTCTAAACAAACAGTCATCGACAAATAAGACGGGAAATATTTTTATAGTTCTCTCACTTGGATGGTGAGCTGGCAACCGCAGTTTTTTATCACTAAGTTATCAAGAAGATACTGTTGCCATTTTCTGTTTGATTTCCCTCTGTCTGTCCTCTGACTTCTTATGAAGATGATATTATGAGATAATTAGTATTGTAACGAAGAATAATGTATATATTAAAATTATCAGATACTTCCGTCCCCTGGAGCTGTGGCTTCGCGTTCAGAACCGTGAAGAGCCAGTGGTGGGCTGGAACTCGAACGCGGACGACGTGAAGTTGTTCGCGCCACTGCGGGCGGCCGCCATTTCGCGCACCGCGTCCGCCATCTTGTTGATCGTTTGTATCGCGAACCAACTTCTATTGTAAACCGTACCTACACGTTTTAATAAATCATTGTTTTTTAAATTGGTTTTATTTTTAAAGAAGTTAAAATTATCTAGCTAAGGTCCGTGTAAAAATAAAAATGATGTATCAAGTTTGAAACGGTTTAATTGTTACCAATTCCATCACTGTCATTACAGTCTGTTACAACTTGCGACTTTTATTTTTCTATTTGTAGAAACACACTAGCCGAGAAGAAACTGCATGCTGAAGTAAATGCGTAAAAAAGAAAAAGAAGAAAAATAGGAACAACTGAAGCTATATATGTAGATGGCGTACACCAAAGACTTCTCTATGTTTAGTAGTAGACCCGCAATTCAGAACAAAAACTATACCACAGCTATGGATATGGGGCGGGTAGCTGGCACGGTAAATATGCCACGCAGTTGTGCTTTCATTTACAATAGTTACATACTTACGACAGCTCGCTGGCACAGTGGCTTAGCAATGAGTTTCAGCGCTTAGGGTCACGTGTTCGAATCCCGCACAAAATTGAAATCTCATTACCATAGGTTTGTGCTAATTCGGGTGATATAACAACATCTATAAGTTCAGTATTTGAGAATATATAGAGGCTAAACCAAATAGTTCGAGCTCGCAATAATTAAAAATTAAAAATTTAGTACAACAAACTTCTATGAATAACTCCAAAACGATTGGTCATACCTTGATTAAATTTATATGGGACTACAAGTTTACAATTAAGAATCATCGATATCGGTTCACCTAGAAAAAAGTTATGAGGTAACATAAAGAAAAAGAAACATACAGTCGAATTAAGTACCTCCTCCTTGTGGAAGTCGGTAAAACTCCAAATAAATTATCAGCGAAACGCTTAGATGAAATATGAATGATCTTTGATTATTACATATGAAATACTGGAAAGTATACGCATTACGGCAGTTTTTCTTCCATCCCATTACAATCTAGGTTATCAAGGTAAGAGTCAATGGGTTTTCCTTATGCTAAGACAGTGCGATTAACCATCAAGAACTTCATCACCTCTTGCCATCAGCTGGAATTGTAGTCAAGCACTGGCTTAAAATAACAAAAAAATGTTTGGTTCTATGAAAACTTTTATTTTTCCTTTATTCAATAACCAGCTGTTCCCCGCGACTTTGCACGCGTGAAATTTTTTTGCGCGGAAACCTAAAGTAAAAGTAGCCTAAGTAACTCCTTATAACATCATCTACTTATCTGCCAGTGAAAGTCTCATCCAAATCGGTTCACAGGTTTTTGTGTGATACGTGTTCACGCCAAAGTAGCTCGCAGACGACAGATTTTTTTCAGACTTATTTAACATTTATCGTAATATTTTGGCCAGTTTACGCAATATTTTTATGAATTATAGCTTATGTTTTATTCTGATGTATAAGCTGTATTATTGAAAAGTTTCATTAAAATCCATTCGGTAGTTTTTGCGTGAAAGAGTAACAAACATCCATACATACTCCTCACGTCACATTTATATATAATATTAGTAGGAGAGTAGGATAAGTTTACAAGTCACTGTATCTAGTGAGCGGCCACCGTACACCTCGCTTACGAGGTTGCCACTCGAGAACGTTTCTTCCCCATCGATTGTCAGTGCTTCGAGCTATAAAGTCGGCCCATTGTCACTTCACTGGATAGAGTATCGACCTAGTAAGATATGCAGGAAGTCGATGGATGCAGGTGACTCAGGGTCATGCTTTGTAGCGTTACTGTATTATTTTATCTTATTTTTCATTTTTTGCCGACTTGCAAAAAGGAGACGGTACTCAATTCGACTGTATGTTTTTTTGTGTGTTACCTCATAACTTTGTACTGGGTGAATCGATTTCGATGATTCTTTCTTTTTATGAAAGCTGATAGTTCTCGTGTGGTCCCATATGAATTTCATCAAGGTCAGACCGATGGTTATTGAGTTATTCTTAAATAACTTATATTGAAGTCGCTTATATTGAAGTCGCTTATATTGAAGTCGGCTGTACAAAATTTTTAATTTTAAATTATAATAACATTGTATTAAGACAAATTATTATAAAATATAAGGCATCGATACTTTTTCGATACGTTTTTCGATATTTTCCTATGAGTAAATCCAATATTCATTCGATACCGTCTCCCTAGCCAAAATACATAATTAAGATAATTATATCCATTAATGGAAACCATTCAAACAGGAACCATTAACATTCTTACATATAAAAACTTTGCGGGTTTGAATCCCGCACGGAACAAATATTTGCATGGCCTTGAAATAATTGTTCCTGCTCTAAGTGTTTGTCCTTGTGCAATCTATGTATGTAATCTGCCTCCATTTACAGGAGATAACCATAGAGTAGGGGCAACATTTTTTGAAAAATAAAAAAAAGAATGTCTAGATGCCAGGCCATAAACTCCAAAAAAAAAATAAAATAAAATAAAGAATAAATTAAAAAAAAACTTTACTCAAAGTCAAAATGGCTATTTAACTAATAACTAATTAAGAAAATAATTACATAGGCGTTAATTTTTCCTTAATTAACAGCATTACTTATGTTGTAAATAAGTTAATTAAAGCAGTACGCGTTAATATTTTTATGGCCACAATGAAAGGTTTAATGATTTACAACGAAAACAACGTGCTATAGGTTGTTATAGTCTGTAGTCGTGGTATTAAAAAAAAATTGTAATGTTAATACCATTTTTCCAAATCGTTAGAATTGTTACGATAAAACTATCGTTAGTACATTCCTATTGTTTTACATCTTCCCATATTAAATTTAAATTTAAACTTTCAAATACGACTATAGAAAAAAGTGTGCTCGATCACGCTCTAGTAATTGGGACAAAAAAGAAAATTTCGAGTTCAAAGTCAACCTTACATTAAGCACTATATTAATATTTTAAATTTATTTATTTATTTCTCAAGGCATACTAAATAATAAAGTTTAATTAATTTTGTACACACAAAATAAACCTTTGTTTTTTTTTTAGTGAAAATTGATAAAATATTTTATTATGAAATTTATGTAAATTTACTATTATTCGTTTTCATCATCTGTGTCATCCTTGTTAATGTTGTCTCCTTGGGAATTTATCATTATAGCTAATCGTTGGCACATTCCTATTGTAACTGACGTTTATGACCCAACGACTCGATCATAACGGCCGAACTATAATCAACGCCTTTTAATTTTGTCTTCATTGTAGTGACTATCATTCTCATTCTACAATTCATCATTGCCCCATTCTCCCCTAATATCGAATACCAAAAAAGAAACAGTGGAGTCAACAAGGCTTAATTCTGCCCAATTTAAAAACACATTAGACTTCAATTGCTTAACATTTAGCGTTGTGAATTTTATAATGATATATTTATAACGATTGTCGTTAAACCCGTGGTAGTGAAGTGGGGTGACACGGTCAGATTGCAGCATTCCATCCAGTAAAACATATAAAGGCCCACTGCTGAACCTAGGCCTCCATGGTTTGCTCCAGAGGGCGGATTGTGCCATAGTTGCCACGCTTTGAAGATGGGTTGGGTTGGTTTTTATAAATTTGAGCTGTTGTCAGGAAGATACTGCTGTCCATTTCATGTTTCAGTATCTCTCTGTCCCCTCTTACGGCTCCCACGGTATGATATGGAGTAGGGGATATTCTTTCACCGCTACTACACAGCATTGTAGCATTGTAAATTCCGAAAACATTTTTATACGTGGTAGAGCCATGCTGCAGCTATATTAGTAGTATAGTTGTAGCATGAATGGGTTGGCTCGACCGGGGAAGGACCACGCTCTCACAGGATACCCGCGTAAAATAGCAGCTTAACGCTGCTGTGTTTCCTATGGTGAGTGTAGAGAACCGAAGACACGTTTCACTGGAAAAGAAGCATTCCATCTTAGTCGTCACGGGTGACAACACTTTGATTCGTAATCGAAGATAGATGTATGAAGATGTCTATGGGCCACAGCAACCACTTACCATCAGGTGGACTGTGTGCTCGTTTATCACCCTATCCTATAAAAAAAATTAAAAAAGCAGCACCTGTTAATGGTTGCTATGCTAGCTTATATTCTATTGTATTACATTCATCTCTGTTTCATTCATAGACTAGAACAATTTTGTACGTGATAGGGTCAGGGTCCATGGTGTAGCCATCATATGGCTAAAGCACAAATGGGTTGGCTTATTCGAGGAGGGACCACGCTCTTACAGAACACCAGCTTGAAACAGCAGCTTAATGCTGCTGTGTTTTGTATGGTGAGTGTAGAGAACCGGAGACCCATTTTAAGCTGTAACAAGGCATTCTATCTTTGTCCTCAGGGATGACAACGTCTGTATATTTTAAATTTTAATGGAAGATAAATGGAAGTGTCTATGGGCCACAGCATTCACTCACCATCAGGTGGAATATGTCACCGTTTGTATACCTATACCTATAAAAAAAGACTTTACCGATTTTATATTTATTACAATACTCAAAAAATAAAGATAGGGGAGCATTTTTGGCTCAAACGGCCCCGGAACGCTACGCCGCTGTATTAAGCCAATTCTCCATTATCATTCCATTACAGCCGAATATTTTTTTATGGGATATTGTTGACAAACGAGCACACAGTCCACCTGATGTTAAGTGGTTGTTGTGGCCCATAGACATCTACATCTATCCTCGATTACGAATCAAAATGCAGATGCGTTGTCACCCATGAGGACTAAGATGGAGTGCCTCGTTTCCGGTAAAAAGGGTCTCCGGTTTTCTACACTCACCATACGAAACACAGCAACGTTAAGCTGCTATTTAACGCTGGTATTCTGTGAGAGAGTCCTTCCCCGGTCGAGCCGACCCAATCGTGCTACAACTATACCAGTAATATAGCTGCAGCATGGCTCTACCACGTGTAATTTTATATAATATACCTTATTCTTGTTTTAGTTCAGGTTTTAAAATCAATGACTATTATCAGCAAATACTATATCACACACCTACTAATACGAACACACACACACACACACACATA